GATCTCAAGACAACAATGTAACTTTGATGCTCGCATTTGGAGGTATTCAGTTAAATAAACCCATTAACCTTTTTTTTATTGAGTATATCGACAAACATAAAAATATGACTAACTGCAGTTTGTGTGTGCAGTTTAGTTCTGTTACGCTTCTTTGTGTGTAAAAGCACATAGAGAAGTGTGCTTTTACACACTCTGGGACCCGTGTCCCAGAGAAGTGCATTGCAATTTTTTTCAAGAGCAGCATTTGTGTTAGTGGAACTATGATTGCTGTGCCATGCAGGTATCTATTAAATGTATATGTGAAATTATGTGTATTATACACTAGAATTAAAAATGTAATCATAATTGTCACTGTTGGCGCTGTCATCAAAAATTTAGCATTTTTGATGACAATCAAAAATGCTAAATTAGAGATGAGAAAGGAGAAATCAGTCAACATGCAATTGTGGGTATTAAATTAAAGTAGGTTGGGCCAAATGGTGGGAATAGAGGTACTTACAACTGATATAGCAAGAGTGTCATTGTAATTTCCAAATGAATTGTGTTGTCTGAAGGTTTTGACATACACAGGTTGCATAGGCAAGACTATGCAAACATAAGGACATTAGTGGTTTGAAATGCACACACACAAAAATCTAGTCTCAAAGTCACAATAACTTGAGAGATTAAAAAATAGCCTCGATGCGAAGGACAGTCTCAAGTAAAACTTTTCCAATCCAGTCCCACAGGAAACGAGGCAATTAGGGAGTTTAAAAACCCACAATGCACTTACAGAATATGGGTTATCAAAGCACACATGCAACTTCTTATGGGTAAGTCGACAACTTGAAGCGTTGGGGTGTAATAATACACAACACAGAGACACACAGTGTTTCCATGAAGCAGAGAAGACTAGCAGTTACATTAAGTGAGCTTGTTTTAGCAGCTGTACGTTCCTTCTTGCAACACGAACAAGCATCTCTGCTTTGTAACGAAGCTCGTAAGGTCTGTCATTCTGGCATAGCCTATATATCTAAATCTGTAAATATGTGAGCTGGACAGATATATATATTTTTTGTTAAAATAAGTTTTATTTTTTTTCTGGAGAGAGGTTTACGTGGTTTATGGCTGCAAAACATATTTAGCTCAGCTTAAAAATGCTTTGTTTATTTTATGGGACCACATCTTTAAACCCATTCTCTGTAAACATTATGTCATTACACACATACTACTGGAGTGAGCCATAAAAAGACAGACAGATAAAATACAAAAATCAGACTAAGCCGATTTCAAAACATAAATGGGTTTTCAACCAAAAGCCGTTCCTGTATTTAACCGGAGTCAGAAGTGGTATAGTTTTCCACAACCAAAGAGGCATGTCAGTGCCACGTCATGATACCACTAACAGTCTCATCCAGGAAATGTTTCACCCTCCCTCTACGTCAAACTGATGCTTTGTGGAGGATGGCAGGGTCAGCAGACAGATTAACTGCACAAATCATATCGTTTATCCCAACATCCCTGCAAACAAATGCCTTAAGACCACCAGCTTCATTTGGTAACATTTTAGACAAGTTGCCGCTTCACAATTCAGCCGAACTGATCAGTACCAGCAGCTCTGGAAAACTAGAGTTACACTCAGCATTTGTTAATGATATTGGATGATTTTGTGGAACCACAGCTATACACAACGAACTACTTAAACTCTGTGATGGTTGATTTAAAGACAAACAGCAATAGGATGAGAGCTAGTGAGTGTATGTTATCGAAGTGATGTGGTCATAAATTAATGTTAACATTCTTTGCTTTTACTGTGCTTCTGAATTAAATCAAGAAGATCAAAAACAACACTAACTCCAGGACTTTAAATATGGCGCTCATTATATTTTTAATGGTTGTTGCCCTCTGAGCCCGTCTCGAGCTCTTGGAGAAATTCCCTTTTTTCTCTGGTCTAGCTGAAATGTGTACTTTCCACCAAAGCAACTTAATGCTAGAAGTCGAACCAGAATTTCTTGCAGTGGCAATGCCAAAAAAAACAAAAACTGGAACTCAGCCAACATTAGCACTGAGTTAACCTCCTTTAAGCATTATCTGTTACTGGCAAATCAAGTGTTTGAATAACAAGCAAACTGCTGGGAATAATGAAAGCTTGTGGGGCAACAAGGAGAATAATATCCATATTTAAGATCAGTGGCAGTCAGCTCATTCAAACCCTTTTACTGGACATCCATCACATCGATTTGATGTTACAGGAGAGCGAAGCCCATTAACATCTGCTGATCCATCACTTTTACGCATCCATCATGAGGTAGAAACCAGGATGTGATGGTCCAGCAGCTTCCTTTGCATGATTTTCCGGGTGCCTTTCCTAAAGAACCGGGGTATGAGGCACTGCTCTCCACAGAACCTTTATCACATCTGACGTGCTTTATGCTCAGCTTAATTAAAAAGCAGATTGCTACAAAAGAACTTGTATTACTCATGTATGACAATTACAGAAAATGTCAACCACCCTCCTTTTCCCTGACTTTACATTAGTAACCCAGTAAATATAAAAGCTGGGTGTGGGCTAACATGACAATGTCACAGTATGACAACCTTGAGTAAAAATACCAAGACTTCACAGTATCAACACATCAATTTAAAACTTAACAACAAAAATTATGAAATGATTCTATTCTATTTCAAAAAAAATTAATCTGTAGCTTCAACAATAATCTATTATGCGTGTTATTACAGTTTACTAACAACATGGTTTCCAAATGTTAATTTCTCTGAATATTTTTTGCCATTTTGTTGGTTGGTTCTTTACAAGGTGACAAGTTGAAATTTGTTGGTCAAAATGATAAACTGACTGTTGTTCCTGACAGAAAATATGTGAAAACAGTGACTATTATAACTAATGGAAAGTATTGAAGCCTTATTTCATCCAGTTAGAATGTGCTTCATACAGCTAGAAAAAACTGGGGTTAATCAAACCTTTAAAACATAAAAACTGTACGATGAACATTTTTAATGGTTTTGAAACCCCTTTTTGTTTACATCTTTATATACCTTCATGTCAGTATCCGACCCAGGTCTGGTAAACATGGGGCATCTTTTTATACTTGACTTAAAGGATTCAAACTGCACCCAATAATGGTTGAGTGGTTAAACACAAACATTTCTAAATGAAGGGCAGCAGGGCTCCAAAGCTTCTCCTGCAGCCCTGTAATATAATCATTGCCAGGGTTTGGCTTTAAACGGCAAAACTGTTTTGATTACACCCAATAAAGGGCAGACTTTGGCCCAGCTAACATTTGTCACACTCATACATAAGCACACCACCTGGAAGGGCCTTTGAGGCAGAAATGGCCAAAAGCTGTAAGGGATCACAAGCAGGTGAAATAGCTCCAACATGGGATTCATGGGAAGAATGCGACCTCTTAGTCACTGTACATCTGATGAGTAGCAGCTAGCATGTTGTGGTGTTCAATTTCAAAATGTGTTCAACTAACAAACATTTAAACATTATTCCTCACCTGGCTTTGTGAAATTCTTCTAACCGTGGGTCACCTCTGTGTGACAAGGATGAAATTTGTAACTTCAGTTTAAACTGTAGCATTTGAGTGAGTGTGCAGTAGTTATGTTTGGAAATAACAGCCCACACTAAATAAATCACAAACTCAAACAAACTCTACCTCATCTTAAATGGTGTCCAGAAAATATCTTGTCACTAATACAGTATCAATATATGATAGTTTTCATTCTTCATTCCAAGCATTTCTGTGTGTTTTACAAACTGTTCTACTATGATCAACTTCAGCCAATAATGTGGGATACTTAAACTCATAAGGGAAAAATTGATCCAAATGTCGTGGATGAATTTTTTTATAGCTACCGCCAGACATAAATCAACCATTTTCACGTTGAATCATTTTAGGACAGTAAGATTAACTTTCACTCTTTGGATTTATGATGGCTCAATTCACAAGATGAGTTAAAAGGAAGTAAACCTGTAGAAGTTCTTTTAAAAAACAAATCAAGACTCTGACTTCTTGTGTGAAAAGCAGAAGAAACCAGGCAAGATGTCAGAAGTTGTTTTTTGTACGAAGAATATTCAGGTCCAGCAATTCAAACAACTATGCGAGATACTCAAAAGACAGCTTCATTTGAGTTGGTATGGATGAACTGATTTTATCCTTGTTTCATGTGTGATATTAAACTCCTAATAATAACATAAAATTAATATGTTGATATCAATTAACATATTAGCGTTAATGACACATTTTAAGTGTCAATAACATTTCAACTGTACAAGTGGTGACTGGCATCAACTCTCTTTATGGATATCACCAGAAATGAAGTTTGTTCTGTGCTTGAGCGCTGCTAATTCCTTTTTCTGTTTACTCCGGTCAGACATGACAGAGTGCATATTTTCAGCCGGTAAATGGATTCACTGTCCTCCTGTTTACAAGCTGCTTTTACTCATTAACGCTGCCGCAGCTTGAGGTCTGCGTGTAGCTTTGACCCTGAAATCAAGTCTGTTGCTCAATACATGCACTGTTTAGAAAGCTGGAGCACAAAACCACCTGGCCTTGACTGTAATTTAACAAGCACAACTTTACCAAGAAAAAAAACATCGCTTTTACCAAGCTTTGTACGCATAAGAACATTTATGACCCGAGTGTGAGAATCAGCTACTAAGTTCGTGTGTGCCTCGGGCCGGCTGGGCTTCAGGGGTTGGTTCCCGTCATAACGCCGCAGGCGGCAAGCGGTTTTGTTTCCTCGACACGAACAGGTCGCAGTTATTCAAATCAGGTGGTTTTAAACACAGGAAGCCACCTCGGCCTTCTCCCTGCTGCCAATCTCTGCACTCGACTCCGAGCACGGGGAGAGAGACTCCAACCACTTCTCCCCTCCAGCTTCACCCAGGTGGGAAGCCCCGGTGCCAGACCAGCGCCTCCCCCCCACGGAGGCATTTCTGATGAAGGAGGAATGCAGGCTCCACATCCCGCTGCCCTCCCCCCGGCCAAACTTACCGAGAAGCAACAGCTTCAACTCCCGGCGTGCGTCCCTCTTATCCCGGCGGAGCTGCCTTTCGATCTCGTCGTTGATCCGCCTCGCTTCTTTCGCCTCCTCGCTGAGGCAGCACGCCATTATGGATTCCAGGGTCATTCTCGGTCCTTTTTCTTTTTCAAACACGCACTATAAGCTCCGCTTGTCCCCCCCCCCTCTGAATTGAGTCGTCCAGATTTCACATTTGTCGCGGGGGAAAACCAGAGGCCTGTGAATGTCAAATAACGTCCTCATGCAGGCAGGCCGGCTTCAGGGGATGCTGTAATGAGTCTGGGTGTTCAGACCGGAGTAGAGGCGGAAAATAAAGATATTTGAGAGGAATTATTGGAGTCCCCTACCCCCTCCCACCCTCTTCCCTGTGTTTCGGTTCGCTTTCTGGGCCTGCCGAAAGCTTCAAACTGAGTAGAAAGCGGGTTCGGTTGAATATTAGTGCTCGGTCGGAGGGTATAAGCTGATCTTCTGCCTCTGTATGATCAACAGATCTTTTTAAAACGCACCATCCGCACTGATCTGGATAGGTATTGTCATCAGATCTCCGGCCAGGCTCTTTCCAAAGTCCTTAACGCTGATGGTATTTTTAAATCGCTGAAATACCTTGTTTGTTTTCCAACTCGCAGTCTGCGTTGGCGAGGGAAAAAAAAAGACAACACATGAGCGAGGTTGTCCGTTTATTTTCCAATGGCTCCACTCCCGGGCGTGGTGAGGCGGAATATGGCGGACTTTCACTCCGGTTCGCTAGGCTGGGGCACAGTAGTTATATCTCCCTGTCGGCTCGGTGAACCAAGGAAGCCGCACAGAAAACGGCATTTCACACGGAGTTCTCGCTCGTCGCGGCGAAATTATGCCCGAGTGTGACCTCCCCTCCCAAAAAATAAGAGCGGCGCGCGGGTCCGTGGCTCCGCACCGGGGAAGAGGCGAAGGGAACAGGACGCCGTGTCGCTGGCTTTGCCCCCGACCAATCTTCTTTTCCTCAGTTCTCTTCATGTATTTTTATTGCAGAAGCCATCCACTCCTCCGCGGGCTGCGTCTGGCCCCCGTCGACCAGGGGGCAGTGTCGCCGTCAAGCAAACGCCACTATGTGTTAATGCCACCCAACCTGTAGCATGTGAATCTGCACGTTTGAAGCCCCTCTGAGTTCCGTAGCGATTCCGCTTAAATCCTGTCAGCAGGGCCGTATCTAGAATGTTTCGGAAGGGGCTTGCTGGGGAGGGGGACGCTAGTAATCTTTCACCATATAACATACGAAACAGAAAAGAAGGTTCCGGAGTTTTGCTTAAAGGTGATTCTCAACGAGTGAAAATAAATGTCTAAATAATGTGATTAAGTTTTTTTTTATTTAGTTTATTTGCCCACAATGTAAAACTTGTACATGCGTTAATTTCACAGAGCAGCATATGAAATGTGTATCTGATTATATATAATATAACAAATCTTATATATATAAGATTTTATTTGTTATTTATTTTTAATGAAAGCATGTTTTGCAAACATTGTTTTTTTTATATGAGTCATAGGCCCATATGAGGTGAGTTGCAATAATATTTTGAGATTTTTTTATGAAAATAAACAATACTCAAGAATTTGAAAATAATATAGTTTTAGCTATCTTTATTTGGAACAATATATAGCTACGTGCCAAGGAACATTAAATTGCCACTCAACCTTACAATGAGTGTAGATATTCTATATGCAAACAAGTTGAGGTTTAATTAAATGGTGTATGTTCTAATGTTCAAAACTGTTAAAGTTAAGATGGGTTAAGGAGGAGACAGAAACTGAATTTAATGTTTGAACTGAAGAATATCAGTATCAAGATAAAAGTAAAGATAGCCTGCGCAAAGCCTTGCTGAACATCAAGAGACTAAATACTTCAAGAAGAAAACAACATTTTGCTTATTGGTTAGAATAGATATTTTTTTATTTTTAGGGATTACTTGGTAATGGTAAGGAGAACAATGATGGTCGAGGTTAACCATTAACTATCTCTACAGTGGAAACAATACTAGTTGTACCAGTATTCAACCAAGTAGCTCTGCAGTAAGCTGTGAAGGTCATTATGTTCTATTTTTGTTGAGATGGCGCAGTGTTCATTCAGCTCCACCGCCAGTGCAGCAGGCTCTGATTATGTAGTCTGTCACCGTGGGTCTGTTGAAGATAATCAGTCGGTCCTCACAATACAAATTTATGATTTACACTATGCTAAAAGTTTTGGACTCTACCGCTAATGGTACTTGGCCCACATTCTCGGAGGCATCTGGCAAATTATGTAAACCAAATTTCCATTTCTATGGACAATAACATTTTTTTTTAGTTGTACTAAAGAACTGGTATCAACCTGCAAGAAAAATACAAAGCTAATTAAATGTGATGTAGAGCTTAAAAGCCATCAGCAAACACTAAAAGAGCTCTGAACTCAGAATAATCTTTGTCTTAAACAAGATTTTATCCAAAGGAGAACAATGAATAACTTCAAGTTAACTGAAGAAGACAACAGTAAATCAGGAAGAAGAGGTGCTTATGATTATTCATTTATCCCAAAAGTCAGGACATGAATGTGGGAAAAACACTGAAGCCAACTTAACTGTGTCCCAGTTGCAAATTGGAAAATGAGCAGGATATGCTAATTACTGTGCTTAGTAACAAAGTACTAAGCATAACAAGTATAAACAAAAATAGACGTTAAACCACAAAATGACCAGTGGCCTGAAATATGAAGATTTCAAATTCTTTTTGCAAATTATACCTGTCACATCTCTAGGCTAAAGAGGAACAGGCCATCTGGGTTATTATGAACGCATAGTTAAAATGACACTATTTTAGATGAGATGGAGATGAATTACATCTGTGAAAGCACCATTAATATTATAGTTAAAGAAACAACTTTAGGAGCAACAGAAGCTTGTAGATCATAAATAAATGCTACACTTTTTAAAATTTTATTTGTTAAAAATGAGCCTTCAGAGAACAAGATAGCTCAGTGCAGTATGTTTCCTAAAAGTTTTAGCCTACTATTTTTGGCATAAAAAATGACCTTGTAGCAATTTGTTTCATTGAAATATTTAGTTGGAGACCGCTGATATAAAATAATTACTTTGTTTTTACCCCACACTTTTATTTTGTGAGGAGTTACAACTTCCGCTCGTTCTCTTCCACGCGTCACGTGACTCCAGCTTTCCCTGGATACGGGAAAGCGTCTAGCTGCGGTCTCCACGGAGGGAAGGATGCGTGTGTAGTAGTTAAAGGGACGTTTCAGTGCCGTGTTTTATACAGTTAGGACGTCAAACCATCATGGCCATTTGTCGGGGAAGCGTCGCTGTCGACCCAACAACGACTTTATCAACTTTTGGTACCTCCAATTGTACGTTTTAGCCGCGCCGCTCTGCTGATCTTTCTTAGCATGGACGATAAGGATTAGTTAGCCTCAGCATCACCCCAGTGACCACACCTCCTGGTGACAGGTAGGTAGAGGGAGTCTTCAGGAGTGGGTAAGAAAACAAGAAGTTTTAACAGTACTGTTATCTCAAATAACGCCAGTTGAATTCCCGCGGGAGGGGTTGCATAATGACCGCCAGCGCAGTTCATAGCGAGGTGTTTTCGACTGACTAATTCCTTGTGGCGGTAATGATGTGGCGCTAATAGGATTGGAGCTCTCTCCTTCCTGCCGCTTGTTTGAGAAATTCGTGGGGATAATGAGGGTGGAGCTTAGCCGTGCGTGCGTGGGAAAGTGATGTGTGTGGGGTTAATCTCTCACAGGGTATGCAGTGGCAGTGATATAATGACCATGAATTCATGAGTGCCTGTTTTGCAAGTGTTTGATGTACTGCATGGTATAATCACACCTATTGGGCTTCGTTTCGCTACATTGATGCAGGAAAGCCTGAAAAACAAAAACAAAACAACAACAAAAAAACTGCCATCACAATCTACATATTGAAGTCAAACAATAGTTATCCTTCAATTAGTGGAATGATTTATTTATTTATTTTACCTCAGTTGGATTTCTTTGTCTCTGTAATTAAGTGTGGCTGCAGGTTTCTGAGCAAACATGGGGAAGCTGCAGAGCAAGTTTCGCAAGAGGTCTGAGCTGTACAGGTGGGTTATGTTGGACTGTTTACACTCTGCTCCTTGTTGTTTTATGTAGTTCTTAAAACTGTTATCACAAGAAAGTTTCCTTGCTCCTTAGTAGGCCTGGGTGGCTTACCAGTGTCAAGAATGCCCAAGTTTTTGTTTGAGGACATAGTGACAGTGACAGAAAATATTTCCTCTGTCACTTTCTGTGGTGAAAAACAGTCATAGCGTTGTAACTAAATGGGGGCAACCTTCAGTTTTGTTGAATTAACCCTGTTATGACTGAGGCCGACATACCTGCTCAGCTAGATTAGCAGGTGGACAGACTAATTAGTTAATAGTTTTTACAGTTGTACAAAAATGAATATAATCTGTAATAAGCACTGCAGCCAGTTTTATAAGGTATTTATTCAAAGCTTTTGTTTATCAAAATCAAAATATTAAACAAATGTCATGTAACATTATTATAACTATTCTAATATGTATGTGTTTAGAAGAAGTGAGCACAATTGCTGCTTTATTCTTTTAAATGAAAATAGGTCATGTTATGCATTTTTGTTGTATATGTTGGTGTAAATACTGTTGTACTGGCAACTGTGGTGTGTTTTCTTAGTAGACAATAAACACAAATCAGGTCTATGCAAAAATGGAAACAGTTATTCAATCTGAAAACAGTAGTAGTTGACCTAATAAGTTTCCAATCTGTTAGCTGAAGGAGTGCAGTTCTATAGGGCCACAATCCTCTGTTTTTCTCTTTCTACAGAAAACTCTAAAGAATCACTTTATTTGATCTTCGAGATCCTGGAGCTGCTAGTCTCTAGGTTTTGCCTCAATGGAACCCGAGGTTTTCCGCATTTTAATCCACTTAATCATTTAGGCAAAACAAAAGCTCCTAAGCTCAGAGGATAAACTTTCATTATTTACAAACACAACAACTAACCGAGCAGAGACACATTAAATGGGATCTTCAGGGACATAGTTCTGGCAGTCTTATTAAGGAGCAGAATTCATTTAAAAATATGTTTAGATCATCTGCAAGAACTATGTCAGGTAGTGTTTTTGCATCAGTGTGTGAGCCATCCATCAGAAACCTGGCAAATATCATGGTTATTTGTATAGCACATTTCAGTAACAAGGCAGTTCAAATTGCTTTACACCATAAAGACATATTATGGTTATCATTTATCAAACAAGCGAAAGGCTGAAACAGCAACGACAACAGATCTTTAATGTATTTTGGGAACGTGAACAGCAGCATTCTGAACCAGCTGGAGTGTTGATATAAAAACTTGCAGTAACTTCACCGCTACAGAACCAGACAATAAAAAGTGTCTGGCATTTAAAACAAATTATTTTTTAATGTTCATTACATTATTTTCCTAAAAAGAAAATTGAAACAACAAAATCATCAGAAATGGATTAGCGATGGACGTTGATGAAGTGTATGATAACTTTACAGTTGCTTTTTTGAAATGACCATAATTTAGAATTGTTCTTGGTACACTATAGTAATGGCTAAAATCACATATTTTTTCAGTATCTAACCAGAAAGTCCCCCCAAAATAATTATCATACTTATATACATACATATTTTGTGCAGATCACCTCAAGGGGAAAAGGCTGAGAACACCTTTGACAGTCAGGTGTTACAGTATGAACCTGCCCACTATGGCTCCATCAACACTGTGACCAATCTCAGCCCAGACTTGTGTGTTTCTGGTGGCAGTGACCAGGTAGAGCATCAGATGTGTATTGTCTTAATTTTACAGCATTGATCAAAACATAAGTGGCAATACTGAGTGTGGGAGTTATAAATGTTGTTGTGTAATGCTTTGATGATACCTAGAGCTAGTAGCGTAAAATGCCTGCTTCCTCTCTTGTAGGCCGTTGTAGTGTATGACTGGAAACAAGGCCAGCTGTGTCAGTCCTTCCAGGGTCACAACAGAGAGGTTACCAAGGTAAAGTCATTGGGAAGAGAACAGCTTTAATGCAATTAATAGCGGTTAAAATTTCCACACACTGATTGACAGTCTTCATATTTCCACCAGGTGGTTTGTTATCCCGGCAGTACATGGATCTTTAGTGCCTCCCGGGACAAAACCGTTCTCATGTGGGACCTGAACCAGGGAGACGAACCGATTCAGGAGTTTTGTGGACATGAGCTGGTTGTCAATGGAATCGCTATTAGCCCTGGTACAAACTTTATGAACACACTCAGTTTCCTCCGTGATTAAACAATATTTAACTTTTGTATTTATGTTAACAAGTTATCAGGCTGCAATTTTTTTTTTTTGGGGGTGGGGGGGTCAAAACAGCAATTTATTACAGAAATGTATAATTATAGGAACATTATTTCAACTGATGAGACAAATTTTAAATGAAGTGGCAAATAATAATTATTGCCACTGCTGTTGTTCTGCGGAAACTGCAACTTTGGTTACAAATTTGTGTACTTCTGGTAGCATTTGTTAAATCGGATTAAATATATTATTTGAAAGGCAAATTTTAGATTTTAGCAGTTCAACTCTGTGAGAATTGAACTTTCTAACCTGCAAAGATTGGATTGGAAATGACAAACTGATCATATGCATAGAGTAAAATAAGAATAAGTAGTTTTTGTGTTTGTCTGTATTATTTGCAGAAAAAAATTTGCATTATGTATGTCCTGCCTTATATTGTTATCTAAATGTAGTTTTGGGGGGATAATACAGTGCACTGCATATCCGATGCTGGTATTTTAAATTCTTTGTAGATGGAAGAAAGCTTTGCACTGGCTCTCGGGACAACTGGATGTGCCTGTGGGATATAGAATCTGCAAAATGTGAACACAGACATAACATCTCGAGAAACCTGGTAAGAGCATTAATTTATGCTTTTGTAGCTGGGGATATTAACTACTATTAACTCATTTAGACCATATACTTATATTTTGTTTTCTGTAAGATTTCAGCTTTTCTAACATTTATTTGTTTCCAGGTGACTCATGTATGTTGGGTGCCAGCTAGCTTTTCTGTAGTCCAGACCTCAGAGGACAAAACTATAAGGTACAGCAAAGCTTTGTTGGGATGCATCTTTTTAGACCACTGGTTCTAATTTAGTGAAATTCATCTACAACCCCTGCCAAAAAATGCAGGATCCCATCTCATGGGATAGTTGTGGCACGATTCAGTCAGTTATATTACAAAGTCAAACAACCGTTAAATATTTTAGCCTTGGTCTAAATATTTATTGTATGTTAACTCAAAACTGTGTGCTTGCTTGTCTTTTCACATGTTTTGCTTGTAGGGTGTGGGATAGCCGTTCGTGGCAGGTGACCAATACCTTTCCAGCTAAGCAGTATATACAGACTCACTGTGATGTCTCTCCAAACGGGAACTACTTGGTGTCCAGCAGCAACGGCTTTGGAGGCCAGGGTTGTGAAGCCACGGTGAGATCAAGAGAGGCACTTTCTAGACTTTATGGATTAGATATGAGTTAGAAACAATTCATATGGCTTAGGATGATGTTTCAGTTGTTTTCTGTTACTGTGCTATATTCCTGAAACTGTTGATTGCCACATGCAGTGAGGTGTTTGTGTGTTGTCAGCTCTGGGACTTGCGTCAGCCTGGCTGTAAAGTGGTGGAGTACAGGGGTCACCTGCAGACCACAGCCTGCTGCACATTTCTACCTGTGTTTTCTGGTGGCTTGGCTAGGATAGCAACATCCTCCCATGACTGTTCAGTCAAAATCTGGGATCAGAATACTGCAGGTAGGACCGTAGCTCCTGGGTAAAGAAAAACCCTTCCTGAAGAGTATATAGTCAGTTTATGACACCTAAAACACCTCTGCTGATTTCAGTCTGTTTAGGGACACTGTCCCTGGATGGTGCTGGTCCTCTGATTTCTGTGGCTCCCACCGATACCAATAGTTTGCTGTGTGCCAGCTTCAACGCCGGTCTCCAACATATCCAGCTGGACCAGGCACAGGGTTCTGGTGCTGGGTCAGGTGGTGCTGGAAGTTTGGATATGAGAGTTGTGGCACGATTCTGACAGCACCAAAGCGTATAGTGGGACTTATATGGACATCAAGGCATTCAGCGAGCAGTAACGACATTCTTCCTTTTTAAAAACCTTTTTTATATTATTTAATAATTTTACTGGCATTTTTGCTTTACCAATCTGCCATACCAAGAAAATTACATTCGTGCATTGTGTTAATTAAATTGCACACAATTGGATTCTGTCCATTGTTTTGATACATTTTGAAAGCAGTTTGTTAAATTGGACTTTATTTTGTGGAATTAGAGTGAAGAAGGTTGAAAATGCACTTGTAAATTTACATTCGGAAACAAGATTTAAAAACCATGTAACACTTTCTTTTCCTTTTAGAAGAGGCACTACTTGATGTTGGTCCATCACATAAAATCATAATAAAGTACAATGACATTTGTGGTTGTAATTAAAGCAAAATGTGCAAAAATTAAATAATTATGAATACTTTTGCAAGGACCTGTGCCCGCAGGGGTATGTGTACTGTTAAGTAAAACAACTTGAATCTATTTTAGTCATTACTGGATTAACTTGACCTCATATGGTAACTGGAATTAATTCCTCTTTATTTAGCACTGTGGATCATGAGGAGCAAAAGATTACCTAAAATAAAACACTCATCCGAACTTGAGTTAAATGTGCTTCAACTCAAATTGACGTACAAATTTTAAATGACTTTTCTTAATCTGAGAAGTTTGAGGCGTGTTGGAGAAACAGTTTCTCTTGGCGTTTTGCCTTCCCAAACAAACCAAAGTTGTAAGATTAACAATAGAGTTTTTAGCGTATATTGACTTTCTAAGGCTATTGCTACTGAATGCTGGATCACAAAAAGTACAGCAGTGCTGAAAACGATCAGAAACTAACACATTTGTATATCATCAGCCATTTCTCCTTCTTTGTAGGTATTGTCAGACATTTTGTTTTGTTTATAAACAAGTTATGATGACATTAGACCATATTAAAAATATGTAAGCTGTGTAGCAAAGCACACACGTTAGCTAAGTGCTGTAATGTACAGAACTGTCACTCTAAATGGGCGTGTAGAATCAGTTGGTCCAGTATCTCTGAACGTGAGGATTTGTGATTTTGCAAGGTGAAGCTTGTTTCACCATCTGACAGCATCTCTAAACGTTTTTCTTTAATGAGACAGCACAAAGTCAGTCATTTCAGTTTATTTTAGAAAAATATTTTTATGTTTGTTTTTTTTGTCAAAATGTTAGAACAAAAGAACATCGAACATGCCAGCTCATATGAACTTATTTTGTTCTTGAATAGAAAAGGTGATACAAATTCTTATATTTTTACTTTAAGATGTGTATAGTTGATATTTTGTGTTGTTAGCCATAACATTGGAATTTTCAAGCATCTATGCAAAATACCAGTAACTTACTTTTCTGATCAACTGAATATGAAGGGAAAATGTGCAAGTATAAAAATGAAGATGTTGTACCATCTTTCAGATGCTTGCTTTGTGTATTCATTGTTAGAAATCTAAAGCCTTATTAGTCGAGGCATACAGTACATTAATTTAAACTGCGCTCATGTTTGAACTGTACGCCTAATGCTCCTACTAATGCCATCTTAAACAGGTGAAACACACATGTTGCACCAACATAACCAGGTGGAGAAACTGAGGAAGCAGGAAGAAAACTCTGCATGGTTTTGTCTAAAGCTGCATCAATCACAGAAGTTTCCGACTTATAATTATTTCTCAGGGATTTAGGGAACACATGTTAGAACCAAACCATATCAGAATTGACTGATTTTTATGTTAGTTTGCTCACTTGCCAGTTTAAACATTACAATGATTTTGTTTATACAAATTCTTAAATCACTAATTTTATGTTTGATTCCACCTATTTAAAAAAAATCAACTTATAAGATATTTATTTGTAAAATGTATTTTATGTCACAAAGTTTGTTTTTTTTCTATTGTAATTTGACTTTTATTACAATAATTTTTCAATAAACGTTCTGTAGACACCTGCTAGAAACTTTTAACCATCTAATTTTTGGTTTCACTTTTTTTTTTGAGCACTTGGCTTCAAGTAATATGTCAGTCAAAATAACCATGTTTTCTTCAACCTCTGGAACCGTCACCACACAAATAAATACATGTATTTATTCAATTTTGTCGCATTAACACATTTGCGCCACCTAGTGTCAGAAAAAAGTTATATCTTAAAACCATCTTTTATATTGTAACTATAGGATCATTTCAATAAATTAGAATTTCTTAAACAGCTACACCTACTTAAGTAATTCAATTAGGAGTGAAACATATACAGTTATATTTTCAAGTGTTTTCTTTTAATTTGGTTAAACCCGATGAAGACTTAACATTCATTGTTCTCAGAAAAGTTGAATGTATCCCATGAAACAAGATTTTTGATACAGGAATGACAAAAAGTACTGAAAATCATGTCATGTGCAGTAGTGATTTTCAAAGAAGATATGCTTTATGAGCATGTTTTCATTAGATGTATGCAGAAAATCACCATATTGAAGGTTAGAATGCTGTCTGTGTAGAATTAATCTGTATATATGCTTTTGCTTTGTGAATCTAGGTACTTAAATACAGGGATTTTAATGATATTCTTCAGAATATCACATTCAACTTGATACTTGGTCAGGCCTCTGCATAAGTGACTGCATCAATGAAGGATGGCATGAAGGCAATCAGCCTGTGGTTCTGCTGAGGTGTACTGGAGAACATTTCATTTCATTTTTCTCCTTAGTCTACATAAAATGCTTTTCATGCAGTCTCTGGTCCAGAAAATGTTTTATGCCAGAAATCGAACAGTTGCAGCCTGTGTGAGGTGGATTCAAAGCTCAGACTTCAGCTGTGGGCCTGAGCTTGTGACTTTTTCCCAAACTCTAGCACATGTTTTGGTTTATAATTCTTTCAAAGCTGTGGCTCGCTGTTGCAACTTTTTGTACCACACTTTTCCACTCAACTTTTCATCAGTATACATGGATACTGAACAGCCAGAGATTTTAGCAATATCGTTTGCAGCTTAGTCTCTTACAGAGATGGACCTGCAGCATATTTATCCTAATTAAAATAAAATATTCAATGGAAGGCAGACTTATATGCAGACTCTGCAGGATGACAGGACAGGCCAAGTTTCAGACTGTTTAGAGAAGGTATTGATAGAATATGCATCACAGAAAATAGGATTATCTCATTCTCTTGAAAACAGTAATAAATCAAAACATTAGTTGTCAATTATTTATGTGTTTATTCAAATCTGAACCTCATCTCTGCTCAAAAAGCTATTTTTCCACAAAGTTTTTCATAAAGACACACCTAAAAACAAAGAAGAAACCAGGAATCAAGTACAGAAGACTTAGAATAATAAGAAAAATAACATAACAAAACTTAAATAATAAAAAGCCTAAGAACAAGTTTCCTTACAGTAATAAAAATTGGCACAAGATATAAAGACCATTTGGAATAATAGACACAGTTGGGTTACAGTAATTTAATGGACTTAAAAGCCATTCATTATACACTCTAAACAAGAGAATAAACATCTTGGTGAAGTAATGAATCTAAAGCTGACAGATGCTAACACTGGAATCTGTTTGGTTTCAACCAGCATCTACAGTAAGTGGCTCATGATAACATTTATAAGTAGTGGCATGATGTTCCACACAATACCTTACAAGCTCTCAAGTGTTTTAAAGATATGAATGAGCTTCAAATCCTCACCCAGCTGTAATAGTATCATACATGTTTAGGTGTGAATTTAAACAGATTATTGCAATACTCCACAGTATATTTGGGTAACACCAGCCAACAATAGTTATCAGTCAAGTACCTCAATAAAGCACACATTTAGCTCTGTTTCTTCAAAAATATAAATGTAAATACAGATTAATCTGTAGGCTATCAATGCATCATAAGCCCATCTCTCCAGTCAGCTGCCGAAAGCGAAAAGAAGTGTCTGATTCTCACACATTTCAATATGTACCTTCATTTCAGGGACACAACAGTGATTATCATAAGAGAAAACAGTGATTGTATCCAGTCTTTTTTTTTAAAAACAAAAATTATCATTTGGTCAATAAAATCCAGTCTCCAGTGTAAATAAGTATTGCAGAAACACAAGCCGCATTATACAGTGACATAACCCCAAAACATAATCGATTTCTGGCTGATCTCATGACATTCGTTAAAATCTTGACACAAGACAAAACTGAAATCTGCAGAGATAAAGGCAGCATGCAACAAAATCTCACATGACAATGAACAGTTGAATCACTTGGGTGTTTAGGCTGGGAATGTTTTGGCAAAACAAGAAAAATCAAAAATTTGGATGTAAATGATGGTCAGCAGTGCACACCACTTTTAAGCCAAAAAGCCAACCAAGCAAAGAAATATTAATGAAAAATAAAAAAATTAATAATTAGGAATCTATTAGCATATGTTAGGGGTGTAGGTACGGAGGCAAAACACTGCATGCCCTCCTTTTCTGCATGTCTTGCTTTTAAACTACTACTGAATAAATGCCAGTGGTGCCACAAAATGTTAAAAACTTTTAATTAGGGAATACAAAGGACTCCGGGTTGAAATATTTTTATATTACGAGTTTTCTGACTTCATGCATGGCAATGACAAATCCAGCCTGTCGGACGGAGTCTCTCTGCCTGAGATGCTCAAGTTAACAGAGGGCCCTGGAATCCTCTTGGTGACAGAGGAAAATGCAGTGAGGAAAATGTGGCTCTATACCACATTATGTTATTTTATGGTTTTTAAAAATTGTGCAGCTCCACCAAACCTGCTAAGATCGACCCTTGACTTTCAAAATCTTGTACTAAATTGCAACTGATGGACTGGCAACAAGAATGGTCACTTATACAGTTTCTTCTGCTGGTTTCTGTAAGGTCTGATGCCTACAAAAATATTCACCCCTTTTGAACTTATTCACACTTTGTCCCATTTCAACTACAAACATGATGGTGATCCATCATGCTGTAGGGATGAGTTTCTTCATAATAGATAGAGGAGCTGGAGGAAAATGTTTAGCTTTCAACAATAATAAGATTAAATATAAAGCCGAAGCTGCAACAAAATTGTTCAGATCAAAGCAGATTCATGTCTGCGAATAGCCCAGAGACCAGTCCTAAATCTAAAAATCTATAGCAAAACTTGAAAGCTCTCCTATCCAATCTGGCTGAACTTAAGCTAGTTTTGCAAATAATAACAAATTTCGTATCTAGTTGAGATTTATCATACCTTCAGCCAAAGAAGTTTCTACATGCTGTGTATGAGGCTTGGAGGTTCGATTTAAATTAGATTTTTATTTGTAAAAAAACAACAAAAAGAAAAATCACAGAATTTTATTCTTTCCAATTCCACTTCACAATTACGCACAACTTTGTTTCACAAAATTGCAAAGTGACATTAAATTTTGGGGTTGTAACAACTATATGTGGAGAAGTTCAAGGGGTATCGTTACTTTTGTAAGGCACTTCAAACTTAAGACTTTAAAGTTCATGATGATTTAGAACTAAAACTAAATGTATAAAAAAAACATAATAAGGTTAAATAGAACGGTTTATGTTTTGCAAGTCTATTGCTCGAGCGTGTAGGTCAGCGTCATCAGCTTAATTACTGTAACTGCTGATTGATTTAAGCAAACTAACAAAATCCCTGCTTTCAACCCAATCTTCATTAAAATGGCATGATCCCATGTCAAGGAAGAAGTTGTTAGTGATTAAAGTAACAAGAACATTTTGATTTTAATTTCCTCAATAAAACTTAATTTATTTTCTTTCAGCCAGAGATGTTTGCTGCCTTGCATTATGGGTCATCACAATGTTTGAATGACTCCTCCAAAGCTATAAAACATGGATGGGAAGAAATCTCACCAGGGTATTTCTCCAGTGAAATGGCCAAAAAGACAAAACTCACTAAAGTATAACCCATTGTACAGAAAATATCGATGTATTTGCAACTTTGAAAAGCCACAAAATTAGATCCAATGTACTTTCTTTTTGAGATGATTGAAGTGATAAGTATCTGTTGAGTAATAAATACTCAAGTACAGATACTTGAGTTTCAACTTGATTGAAAATAAGATTTACTGAAATGTTTCAGCAATTTCCACTTTGGAGTAATTTCAAAACTTTAACTGGGAATTTGGGGAATGAATGGGAAATGACTGGATTTCCAGAAACCCCCTGTACACAGGATGGAGGAACTGCAGATACACTAAAATGTATTCAAAGTTATGCTAAAATAACCCCCTATTTGATATCCTTGGTGAGTACCAACGTTTAACATTTTTAAATATTACTGTTAATAGTTACTTTCCAAAAATTTCTAATGATTTCCAACTATCCAGAATTGTGCAACACCATTTATCCTTCAGTTTTGTTATGACATACAATCTAAACTGTGTTCTGAAAAAGGTGATTTTTCTAAAACCAATTAGCCAGTATCCTGTGACTCGAAGTATTGGAGCATGGATGTGATAAAAACATGACTCGATTTGAGTCACCACAACAATTACAACATAAAAAGTAGGATTTCTGTGGACGGTATGCATAAATTAAACAACACACAGACATCAAGCGACAAAACGTGACTTATAATAGAACTCGTATTACATTATGTGCTGAGTGAGTCCCTGAGATATTGCTGGCTCTCTGTATTGTTTCCACATCAGAATGTGACTTTAGATGCAGTGTTTTTCCAATTCCTATGCCTGACCACAAACACACACTGAAGCAGGTCACGGCGGCATTGACTCATGTACCGAAACACACACAAAAAACGGTCTGGACGTCATATTCGCCACAAGATGGTCATTAAACAGAAGAAATTTCAATATGTTTGGATGAAATAAATAAATCTCACTGTGGACAACTATACAACATCTTTACATATCAGAAATAACAATGTCTCAATTCAAGTCAGGCATTCGTGCTCACATTATATTTTTTAACAGCAGTTTCAAACAGAGATTTCAAGGGGTCTCAAAAAGCAAAAATCTAAATATAAAATGTTTATTTTCGTAGCATGAGCACTCTATGTACTTCAACAAAAGAAAAATAAATCTATCATTTGACAGCTTGTTATAAGTTGCTGAGATGTGTAAAAGAGAAAGAGAGCTCACAGCTAAACTTCTTTACAGTTGTACAAAAAATTTCCCAATGTTTTTCTGTTTATCATAATCAAGCAAAAATGTTTGGTTTGTTGACGTGTCTAAATCTTAAGAGAAATTTTACTTTTATCTTCCAATAATTGACTCAAGCCTTTAAAACCCTGTGTTCAGATCTTAGTTTATCCCACCTGACAGTTGAGTTGTAAATACCTGGTAGTTGTTTTCCTGCAGATGATATTAGGAAAGTGAGTTAAATACTTGTGGTCAACCCTGACCCTTCTCCTTGCTCCGGGTCTACTGCTCCCCGCTGTGCTCGAGGCTGTCTATGACGCGGCTCAGCCTGATGTTGAGCAGCCTGATCTGAGTGTCCAGGTGGTCGATTTTCTCCTCCAGCGTGCCCGCCCCGCCTCCTCGACGCCAGTACGCTCCAACGGGTCCAGTCATGAAGTACACAGCCATGATGAAGCACAGAGGCAGCACGGCTCGCTCCGGGTCGCCCTCGAACTTCTGCAGGATGTAGAGGCAGGACAGGGCGAAAAGTATGACCCTCACCAGCCAGAAGAAGCGTCCAAAGACTGCATGCAGCAGATAAAACACTCCTCCCAGGAACATGGATAGGAACCAGTAGGCCAACAGTAAGGCAGCGATCAGGAGCAAGGCGCGTGCTGGGGCGTTGCTTAGAGACGTGAGACTGAAGTAGTGGCTGAGGTTTGATGCTTCACAAACCAGAGAGGGAGAGAGACAGGAAGTATGTCATTATTTACATGTTTTAGTGTCAAATAAGGAAAAAAAAAAGTGCAGCAAGTTCATGACTTACAATCAATTCCCATCACATCAAGCAGATCCGACCAGATCTTCCAGATGGTATCCAGAAAAGAGTCCACTCCATGGACGAATCGCTCTGTTGCTTTGGAGAAAAACTGAGCAGAAAGAGGCAGTGAAGTTTAGAGCAGGTTCATTCTACAAAAACTGATACCAGAGAGCAGATGTATTGGCCATGTAAGTGATCTTATGATAGCATATAACTTATCGTGATCTAGTCATTTAAACTCATCACAAGATGTTTCCTTGATATGGCTTCAAAGACAGCCAGTCAATCTTTGAAAAGCCTTAATTGAGTCAACTATTTAAAGTGAGGATTTTATAAAAATAAAGTCAGTATTAATCATGAAATTAACTTACCTTAACTAGGTAACCTCTTCAGACCCAATACACCCATATCTTAAACCCAGTGTTTTAAAGGAGACCTAATATGCAAAATTCACTTTTTGTATGTCATTCTTCCATTTGGGTCTCAACTGCTTCTAAAAACAACCCAACTGCTTAAGAAAACACAAGCAAGTTTTTTGGCAATGCATTTTTATTTTTATACTTGACAAATTGCAGCATCTGACTGATTGATGTTACATTGGTATTAAAACCTTCTTTTTTTCTGCTTCTTCATTTCAAGGAAGAGCCAGAAAACCTGACACTGAGCTTTTATTGTGATGCACTGGAAAATAGACATATGCAAAAAGAAAGGTATTGGCCTGCAGGCTGCCACACAGGAAAGTAACAACTTGAAAATTACTAAAATGTTATGTTACAACTGTTTCTAAGGTGGAAAACGCTTTAAATGAGAAGAAGAAGCCCTTGAAAGTGGCGCAGAATCCAGAACTCTTGTCGGACGCAGCAAATGCATTCAACCGGTCACATTTCTATGAGTTTTTAGCCTGTCTCGTCTGGAGCATATTCATGCTGTAAAATAATTTAAATCAAGAAAATGTTCTTAGTTGTACCGACAGGAATGGGTTTTACACTTTCAAGACAATATACAAAACTCTTTACTAGCAATGTTTTTAAAGTGATTCCCGTGTCATATTAAATTAACTTTAACCAAATATATGTCTTTGGCATTTTTTAAAAATCTGCAACTGTCTTCTTAAATATAATCTTACTTTACCTCAAAATTAATTTCCTGACATTCACACCGGCTGACCAATCACCACGTGGTACCGTGGAGCAAGCCAGAGAATACTGGAGTTGTCACATGATTTCTATCTTATTCCTGATTGGATTACAACGAAAAAAAAAAAAAAAAAAAAACGGCAAAGATCACGAATGACGTCACACTTCCTTATTAAAATTGATCATCTAAATTTAGCATTTTGACGTCACTCAACAGCACTGCCATTTTTCCTACTGTAGACTGGACAAAATAAATAAATAAAATAAATTACTGTAGACTGGGTCCATAGCAATTTTTCTATCTTGAATAAAAACAAGTATATCACACGCTGTGGATGTTTTGTTAACATGTTTGTGCCGCTGCAGCGATACTGTGAAACCTTCCTCAATGCTATCACCTGGCAAGAATACCACACAGGCTAATGCACTCAAATGTAAAACAATGACAGGCTAATGCACTCAAATGTAAAACAATGACATTGTGATTGCGGTCATTTGCGCTGATGATTATCACGTGGTCACCGCTACATAGGAAGCAGACAGGTAATTTGCTTTGGCGGCTAAACGCAGGAAATGTGCGGCGTTTCAAAATGCAGGAAGTGCAGCTGGACCAATGAGAGCACACAGGAAAGCTCAGAATGTCCTTCACATTAAGACTTATCTATACAACGATAGAGGACGCTTTCAATGACTGACACCGTTAAAGGCCTTCGATGAAATGAATAAATTCCTGCAACCCTGAAACAAAACTGCAATGACACACATACATTCCTGCTATATATATAACAAAACATTTAGACTGGGGTTGTCAACAGACGAAAAATGATTGCATTACTACTAATATTTCAAAATGGCATCCATGATAAATTGACCAGGCCGAGCCCGCTTTTTAAAATTATTTTCTGTTCACCATGTGTGGACTGCGAGCAGCTCATAATTTCACGAGAACCAGTCTCGTGTCCTCCGCTCACCTTGTACAGGGCTCTGATGTTATCCTCCCCGAACACGCTGCTCAGAGTCTGGTAGATGCCGTTAGCTGCCCGTCTGAAGCTGTTCTGGTTGCTGCTGCCGCTCCTGCCCCTGCCCGCTTCGGCTGTGCACAGAAGAGAGGCGGAAAGCACCAAGAAAATCACAAAAATTCTGCTTTCCTTCATGGCAGCAAGCGTCCAGAGGTGTCAAGTAAAGGTTAGTATCAAAATGTTTCAATTAAAACACGAGGTAAAAACAACAGCTAGCTGCCGAAAGTGGACACCCTGCCAGGGAGACTCTGGCTGTGATGGTGGTGATAGCGCTGTTACATTCAGGGTGCCTCGGAAAAAGCTGTTGTGATCTCAATCCAGAGGGGAAAAGTACAGTTAAAAGCGCAAATATAATGCTTCTTCTGTTGTTTGTCAGAAACAAATGTTCTTTCATATAAATATACAATATTCATGTTTTAAAACATTCATATTATACATGTAAACATGTATAATAAGTAATAAGCTATACACTTGTATAATATCATCATAGACATTTTGTAAAAACAGCTTTGTGATATACTCTTGAAATTACTTTAATTAGATATATTTTTTAAAAATCTGCTAATTTCTAAAAGCAAATATGTGAATAGAGAAAAAGTGTTATTCCTGGAGATATGATATGTCCTATATTATTTAATGCAACAATTCTCTTCGCCTCAAAGTGAGGTAGATTGAGACTAACTACTGTTTGCTGCTGCCCTCTGCTGGTCAACATGTGATACTTCTGGTAGTGGTGCTATTCAATAGTACATGTCGAAATTATAGATATGTCCTTACAAAACTGCAGACTGTTTTTTGGTAGGTATACAGCCATTTAGTATTAAATACTTTAGTTATTTACTATAATTAGTTATTTACTATAAATAACTAAAGTATTGAATTTTTCCATAGATCAGGAGATGACTCAAAGGAAACATGCTTTTTCTTTTCAAGAAACGGCTTTCTTTCAATCAATCCAAAATGTTTTATTTGTACTAAAATAGAGCTAACATTATTTACAATTCTATGGTTTTTGATCCTAGAGACAAATAGGTTTCACATCGACAAGTTTTATTTATCAGCAGCAATAAATACAATGTTCTCCTCATTCCTGATGGACCAACACAAAATAATCATAATTGTGAAGTGAAACTACTTGATCAAATCTGAAAAGTTCAACCTACAGTTGTTTCAGGCCCTGAGTCAATACTCATAATTGGGTTGCAATTATGGTTGCTTATCTTTGGAGGTCTACTTGCTATTTAAAATCATCTAAGACCAACTTCCGTGCTCCTGCCAAGAAGAAGCATTTAAATAGCATGATTCTGCCACCGTCATATTTTACTTTGGGGATGCCTCATGATGATGTGCAGTGTTAGGTTTCTGCCACTCATCAGTTATGTGTCCTTTTGTGTCAGTCTGTTTCAAAAAGGCTTTTAACATGACAAAATATTGAAAAGTTAAAAGGGAGAGTGAATACTTTTGCGAGGCAAAAGTTTGAATATGTACTGCTCAAAAAAATAAAAAAAACACAATATAACTCCAAGTAAATCAAACTTCTGTGAAATCAAACTGTCCACTTAGAAAGCAACACTGATTGACAATCAACATCACCTGCTGTTGTGCAAATGGAATAGACAACAGGTGGAAATTATTTTCATATTTATGTCATTCATTCAGATCTAGGATGTATTATTTGAGTGTTCCCTTTATTTTTTTGAGCAGTGTATTTTGATTGTGTTTATTCGTGTTGAAATGTCTGGCTGATTAATGGCCAGCAGACAGAGGGCAGATGAGTGACCGAGCAAATACAAACTATACCAAAAGCTTTGAGGAACGTCCCCTAAATGTTAGACTTAGCAACATGGATATGAAGGTTACTGATTTTACAACCTTGAGCGATACAGCACCATGAGGTAAGCAAATGATTGAGTGTGCAGTCTGCTGACCTGTATTCATTTGCACTTGCTTATCATAAAAAAATCAACAATTCTAAATACTTTCACATTATCACAGCTGCCAAGGGGCAAAGGACACAGGAGCTGCTTTTTCATCAACTCTTGTCTCCTTGACAGCAAATCTGCTCCAGCCACGCCCCAGTGCTTCTCAGTGGTGTTGCATTTCAAGGTACTTCCACAGTGAATTTAACTGGTGACTTTGACCTTTGCGCTGTGACAAAAAAGTAACTTTGTTTGTATTGCCTATCTATCCTTTGGACCCATCCCCCCATCTTCTGCACTCCTGATTTCTTCTTTGCCCATCTTTGTGCCTTCCATTGTCTCCCTATTCTGACCCAAGGCATAGCATGCTCCTTTGTAAGCCATGGGACGTTTTACCATTAGCAACCCTGACTTTTTAACTCGGTCTCTCTTGCCTTCCTCCTGTCTGTTTTTTCTCTGGCTGCAGGCTAAAATTCTCCAGCTTCTTCATCAGTCGTGACCATATATCCCATCCATTCCTTCCCCAGGCCAGTCCTGAGGCGATGAGAAGGCTGCCTTGGGTGTCTTCCACAAGTGACTGGCCTTCTCCCATAGACCAAATCCCAGGGCCAGACTGAAACGATCCACCAGAACAGTGAGAACAGACACACACGTGCATGCAAAGTCCTGCTGACTTTCACAAAAGTGCGAATAGCTTGTTTGTTCACTTGTGTGCTTTCATTAATCTGTGTGAGTGTGTGTCCGCTATGAGGCGGGTCCATTAGTGTCCAGATCTGATGTACCACCCAACCTCCACCTCACCTCCTTCAGTTGGCCCAAAACCCATTTTCATGGTTAATGATTGCAGCTCCACTTAAAAAAACAAGCCACAGCTCACCCTCTGCTTATCTATTTTACATGCCAACAAAGAGAGCCATTAGTGGTTATTCTTCAAGCTATATTACAATTTTCACTTAAAATAATGCACATGCCTGCTTGTATGGCTCTCAATTAAGTAATTCTTTATTTGTTAATGAGTTTGGGAAGTCAACAGCGTCCTTGAGCGTTGGCCGAGGCTGAATAAACACGCCGGCGAGGGTGTAGAGGCGTGCTGTGATTTAGTGCTATCAACAGTGCATCCATCCGTAGCCTTTTTTTTTTTTACATCTTAACTTCTGTTGCTCTCCCTTTGAAAGCTCAACCTTTGTTTCCATCTGCCTCCTTCCCCACGATTGTGTGTCTGACTCTCTCTTTTCTTTAAACTCAAATGCTTTTCCCCATCCCATGCTCCTGGCTGAGTTCAAAAGTGTGGAGAGGCGGAATTAAATGGCTGTCTGAGGATGCGTCTTCAAAGTAGCCGGGAACAAGCTTTGAATGATAAGAGTTAAGAAGGGAGTCAAAAGAACATAACTGTGATTTCAATCTGGCTGTTACTGGTGAATGCAAAAGCATCTTGATCTGTTTTATCTGCTGACCTTAAACTTATGGCTTTCAGGGATCTTCATTTATAACAGAACTGATTTCCCATACGTACAGGAAGAATCGGAAATGGCAGACTCAGTTGAGGAACAGTCTTTTCCCCAAGTGGAGAAGTTCAACTATAAAACTTAAATACATTTAGGGATTGAAATATTGAGGATATAGATTTGATTTGTGCTAAAAAGCAAAGCTATTGTTTACATATGTGGCTACATTTTGACCCTCTTTTTTGGTCAAGTGATGTGGATCATTAGAGTAATATCAATATTCTTAAGACACTGGAAATGGGCTTCCTCCGTAGGTTTGAAGGGTCAGATTGAGTCAAAAAGCTCTGCCATCTTTTGGTTGTTTGTAGCAGAGCTGCTGCTTCTCTTTGTTTAACCAGAGACAGTTGAGGTCGTTCAGGGATCTGATCCGGATGGCTTTTAGCACCTCGTTTAGTAGTTTTTCTGTCACATCCCCCTGTAGGGAGACCTGAAGGCGGGCACAGTACTCCATAAGGGACTACATTTCCCTTCTGGCCTGGGAATGCCTCTGGGACGTCCCCAGTCTCAGTGGAGATGGACATCTTGGTTTCTCACCAGGATGTTTTGCAGAGGAGCGGATTAGTGGATGACAATAGATGGATGAATGTTACCTACATTGTTGAATTGTTTCATCAGGCATGACATACTTTCATAAATGTGTATGTTGATTTCTTTTTAGCACAAAAACACCAGTGGAAAAAAATATCAAAGAATATTGCTTTTCAAGAAATTAAAGAAATATTTAACATTTAATTGTAAATTCACACAGCTTACCAGATTTTTGATGCCTTTAAAAAAACATCAAATGTTTGTATCTAAACCAGATACACCCATGGCTTTTGAAACAGATACTAATGTTACAGAAAGGTAAAAAATTTTTCTATTTCTTTACCTTTCTTGAGTTACTGTGTGCCTGCAGTAGAGATTTGGCTTGAAAACGGTTCAGATCAGCAGAAGTCCTGACGCTCTATTCGTGCCATTTTAGAACATACTGTGTGACTAGTGACATTTGAACTCATCCCAGAGTAGCTGCTCTTAAACCTGAAATGGACCATCCCGATCTGGAGGGCCAGAGGGAGCGAAGTCAGGCTGAAAAACTCAGAGAAATGTAACAGGATGAAAAGTCTCTCCTAGATCTCTGATATACTGTGGCATTTGGCTGAACTTCACATTTCACTTAGCCCCAGCTCCACGAGCTGAGCAGGAAAAACTCTGATAAGTGTAAATTAGTCGCTTCTTTTCTCTAATTCTGTCTTCCTTCAGTGATCTTCTTGTGCTCTTCTCTGTCTCCTTTTTTAAGTGAGCTCTCTGTCTCCAGTCAGAGCTGAGTTTTCTCCAGAACAAAGGGTCCTCTTTGGGAACAAGACAGGGCAGAGAGGTAATTTGAGAACAGGGACAGGACCTGATCCATAACAGGGTTACCTCAAGGTATGAATCCGTTTAAATTCAGGGAATTAAATATGTGACAAATGTTGTCATTTACCAGATTGCTGCTATTACTCATCCTACTTAAAATAATTCTGACACAATTGAAAGACAAACAAGGATATTATTGAAATCACAATGTGTGAAACACAGAGTCCAGCATATTGTTTGATTTTTACAAGTTGATCACAGACAAAAGCTCCAGAACAATGGCAGACGAGGGGGAAAAGTTTTAAAATAATCTTGCACTGCATCTTAGTCTCAAGCTGAATAAACCAAAACATTCCCTAATTTTTATTTGAGTACATTTAATCAACAACACAAATAACCCAAGTCCCTCTTAAATGATATGTATTTAATATTTTTATACATCTGTGTTTTGCTTCTATTTATTTTATTTGAATTTTGAAGAACGTTTGATTTGTCACTCA